AGCGGGGGAAAAGATTCAGGTGATTCGATTCACCAAGAATTTTGAGGAATCGATCGAGTAGAAAAAAATCGTTAGTAAAAATGTTCGTTTTTGGACGATTTAATTTTTTTTTAAAAATTGACGTAGAATATTTTTTTTTAAACGAATGTATTTTTCTCTCCTCAACTCGAATATACGATTGAAAATTTAAAAAATTCAGTTTATTTATGTACAGAAATTATTTACAAAACTATTAACTAAAATTCGATTACAAGACTGCGTTGTATTCTATATTTCTAATTAAATTAATTTTATTTAATGAGTGATGTGCGTGAAAACCTAAGAAACAAATAATTTCGTCCTTTTTTCTTCCGGTTCATAATCGGAATTCTCAGGGTATATTAGTATTATATATATATATTATATATATATATATATATATTCAGAATAGTATATTCGAGTTGAGGAGAGAAAAATACATTAGTTTAAAAAAAATTATTCTACGTCAATTTTAAAAAAAAAATTAAATCGTCCAAAAACGAACATTTTTATTAACGATTTTTTTCTACTCGATCGATTCCTCAAAATTCTTGGTGAATCGAATCACCTGAATTTTTTTTCCCGCTGTGCGCCTTCTGGGAAAGACGGGACAGGCAAGTACTTTTTTTTCGGAGATTGAGAATTGTTGCTAAAGTTTGCGACACAGGTCGATAAATTTTACATGACTCTCTTGGGAGTGGCGTTACCCACATGATAAACTACTTTAGAAATCAAAATGTTTATTATAACATGTTGAATTGTTGCAAACGTAAAACCGACATAATTGCAATTTACTGCTAAACTAACAATCTCACGTTATTTTTTCATAGAACTGATTTTGTAGAGGGCAAGCTAATGAACAACTTTGATTCAAAAAAAATTTCAAAATCCCCGTTTACAAGCAAAAAAACTCAAAAAAAACGGTTTTTCTTTGTTTAAACAATTTTCCTGGCTACAAAACACGGGTTCTAGCGGGGACAAATGGAGGGCATATTCGTGGGGGTCTATACTACCTAGGAAAAAATTGGCTAAGCGCTGGTGTCTTGAATAGGTCTCATGTTTATTCCGACTGGACTAAACATTGTATGTTTGGTTGTTGTATAAAATTAAAACAGAGAACATTGGATTTGGCCTGCTGGAAGCCATAAATACATTTTCACATCAAAAAAAAACTAGAATAAAATAGTATTTGATACTTCTAACCATTTGCAATGTTAATATGTTATTAGTGCTCCAATGATTTTTTTGGGGAGTGTTTTAACGACACAACGGTGTGCGTCATTAAATTATAAATAAATCTATCAAACAAATCGTACCAACAACGAAATGGATGATTAGTTTGTTATATTTGAACATCCATTTTCACAGTCTGAACCTCTATTAGGTTCTTTGAAGAATAGCAATTTCCTTACCAATCCATCAATGTTGATTGAATTCAACTATCCTTACCTGCGTATATCCATTTACTATATTGTAGTTACTCGTAATTCTTTTTTGGGGTCAAACAAATCACTTGTTTGCCGATGACAAGGTGTGAGTGGAATATATTTTTAAAGATTGCTGACAGCAGTATTCGAACCATATCAACCACCCAAATGCTACTGATCTGACACCTATTCTCCTGTCTCGTGGAGCTATAGTAATAGTTCTCACTACACGAAGACAAGCTACAGATGATTATCTTTTGTGAAGTGGAGGATACAGCCCTTGCTGTAGCTTAAATTCAAGCGGAAATTCAGCTCTCTATTCTATTCGTAGTATTTTGTAGTGACCCAATCCACAAAAGTGGATCCCATTGAGCTCTGGCAACTATATAGATATACTATAGAGTTGAATATTCTGTATCGATATTCACTTTTGAGAACAAGGGCAGTGAATCTTTACTTGTTAGATAAACATCTGACAATCAACACATTTCATGATATTTGTGTCTGAAAGGATGCACCAAAATTGACGAGTGCAGGAAGATACTTCTGTTTATGTTTGTGTGAAGAGTCAAGAATAAACGAGTTTAATATATAAATTGTTGTAATTTATGTTAATAACGGAACTCTTCATTTACATATTTATCAAACTTCATTTGATCTCGCATACGCATTATCTGCATTCTGTTAGTTCATTACTCATGCTTGTAATAAAACACACGAGTAATTTTTGCCTAACTAAGGCTTAACTCACACTGGCGCAGAGTCGAAGCGGCATGGTGTCCCGCGTTTCACCTGTAGCACATTCATCTCTATTTTCCCACTGTAAGGTGATATACCTTACAGGGCAATAAACTAAGGTAATTCGACTCTGTACCACTGTGAGTTGAGCTTAACTATGCTCTATCCTTAGAACAGTTTTAATAATTTGTGCTAACTTTTTATAAGTTTTTAATTTAGCCTATATGTTCAAGTTGCAATTCTGTTTCCTAAATAATCTATCAGGTGGCTCAAAATTGCTGTATTGTCCTGAGTGGTCCTGACCTCATTGGAATTCTGCGCAATACGTATTGTTAAGTAAAAGGCAATTGTTTCTCAATAACACTGTTTTATTTATTTTTTAATTGAGGAGGTGATAATGATATACCTTTTGTTATTTACATGGGGTTATAAAATGACTTATTTACATGGTATAAGTGTATAATAAATAATAATAAATATTTCCAACACACAGACCAATTAACCTAGCCTCAAAGTAAGCACTGTAAGGCTTGTGTTATGGGGATACTTGGGTAGAATACATATATTGTACAATATATAAGTATATTTATGTAGAAAAACATATTAAACATCCACGACTGGAGTACAAATGCTTGTATTCAGCACACAAACATCTGCCCCCACCGGGATTCGAACCCGGGACCTCTCAAGTCGACAACACCCTGAAACCGGCGTATGTTCGGAAAAAGTAATAAATAAATTAACTCTATCATGGGGTTTATACACCTGAAATATAAAAGTGCAACTCTTTCATTTTTTTAATAAGTTCGTGTTACTTTAACTGAAGAGCTTTTAGTGATAATAAAGCTCTGCCTGTATATAAATTAAAAGCGATTTTCGTCTACAATGGCATTAATTCTACATTGTGAGACTTAGAAAATGAGAAATGGTAACGTTTTATGACCCATTAAGCGAGGAACGTCTGTGAAAGCTGCCGTTAAGGGTAATTGTCGTCTGTCTAATGCAGTTCAACAATATTTCAAAGGATTATTGTATTACGAAATCATGTAAATTACTATATTTACCAAGAATAATGAATACAGAGTAAATATAACAGTTAGGTTTACTGACTAGTCTGGTAGCCACTCGATTTCTTTCGATTTGAATGGTGGCTGCGTCTAGTGGCTTGACTGAGCCAGTAGTGGTCAAATTTAGTAGCCAAGTGCGCTTGCTCTTAAAGCAACGAGAGCAATAACAAAAGGAAAAACAACGTTAGTCATTTCGCAGAATCTCAAAAAGCAAAACCACCAAATATACCATCAAAAACAAGTTGTAATCACTACATAGTGTAAAGCAAAGTCGCTTCCCGCTGTCTGTCTCTATGTCCCTATGTATGCTTAGATCTTTAAAACTACGCAACGGATTTTGATGTGTTTTTTTAATAGATAGTCATTCAAGAGGAAGGTTTATATGTATAATACATGCATAATATAGTAGAGAAACACTGATCATTTTAGAGGTTTTTAATGTAAGGTCGTAAATAAACACATTTTTTTGCGCTTACATTGCAAACGCTGGCTGAACCCTATGAAATAGATCAAAATAATGTACTATAGTATTGTACATCTTAAAAAGGTTTACAAAAAAGTCCGCGATGATATATGTCTATCTCTTAGGGATAACCCACAATAACCATTTTTTATCCTATACTTTGTACGAGAAATAACAGATTATTTACGAAGCGATTTTCAGCAATATAACATTCATCCTTATCCAATTAAAAACCTTAAATATATTGTGCATTTAATATAGACCAATTTAGCCCTTTAACGCATGTAATTTAAATGAATATTTTCGAAGATATTACAGATTTAAAGTGCAAGGGACATAGCGGTTCGGACGCTACCGGACTGGGGGGCTTAGCGGCGCGTGCCTATTGTAATTAGGTATTAGAAGAATGTCATTGTGTATAATACAAGCCTGAGAACAAAAACTATACTCTACACTACAGTTCTACACCGAAGCGAAGCGAGGGCGGGCCACTAGTAAAATAGTAAAATCCTTGCTATTATAAAACATACCTAGGTAGGTAAGGTAATTATCGGACAACGGGTTGAACTTAAGTGGAGAATTAGTTTCAGTATTGTAAATGCTATATAGCCTTTAGGTCTTAAGTGTTTAAAAAAATGACATAATAATAAATAAAAAGTATTTTTACTAACATAAGTGCATACAACAAAACAACGATGAAACGATCCCAGTAAGTAATTGTAAATTAATTAATAAATAAAAAGTTTGTAATATTGTTTTTTGATTTTCATGCATACACTCCATACACAAAGGACAACCTACATCAGAATGTATGGAAAGTTATTACTACTTATTTATTACTCCAAACTGGGTAGTATTTGGCGATCTCCTTAATACAAATAACAGCTTCGTTACAAAAGCAATAAATGTAATGTGTGTGATGTTGTCCAATAGAAAACCTGTCTTTGTTTTCTATTTTCAGATGTAATGGAATATCATTATCAGAAGCTGAACTTATCTTTCGAGTAATTAATTTACGATTGTTTATTATGTATAATATCATATTAAGTAGAATACAAGTATTAGAAACATATTTATAAAAAAGAAATGCTGACGTGGAACTACACATTTCCATACACATGAAAGTCCGATACATAAAAATAAATTCGTGCTCGTAAAAATAGCTGTAATAATGAAATGTCAAACAATTTCAGTTCTAAATAAACGCAAGCTAGCAGATCTCTTCATAATATTAAAGTGTTAATTGTTACGAATTGGACCGCTCTGTAATTGCGGTTTGACCTTTACATCAATGTGTATCCTACAGAAAGGATTGCGGTATGAAAAACAGAATCATATGTTTTAATAATTAATAGCTTTGGAATTTTAAGTGCCTAAGTAATTAAAGAATCTAACAATGACGTCGATTTTTGCAGCAGATATCCGTTGTTTTTCATATCAGAAGCATATTATTAGCAAAAGCTGTATTGCTATTTAAAAACAATGAGATAGATTTTTGCTATCATAAAAAGAGCTTAATACGAAATACTTACCAAATTTAAAAAAACTTACGATGAATCAACTTCCAACTTCTGAATTCCCATACTTTATCTTCTGATTTAGCAAAATTAAACAAACATTACCACAAGAACTATCGCAAAATGTAACAACTATATAATAAACTTCGCGTTTTGAGTTTTCGTTTTAAATCAGCTATTGTTGGTAAAGAAAATAAAATGCCCAAAGCGAACCGCTATTATGAACCTATCTCAGCGAGTCATGCCTTTTTGTTAGATTTGAAATCATTTTCCGCATCGACCAACGCACATCGAAAAGAAATTTTAACGTATTGTTACGTATTAATTTAAAGTTGGCCCGCACAGTATTGGGGGCGCGTAAATAAATAATGAAAGCTGTTGAAAAATCATCACTGAAAAGTCGCTCGCGGCTTCGATTTTTGCTATGTTTTCATTTTGTTTTTGGGTTTGAACATGGTTGGGGAGTTCGGCCGTTGATAGTTATAGTATCGAAGAGTGCTTACCATGGGTCATGATAATGCGTCGCAACGTGCCCGAATCGCGAGCGCGGCTCACGCGAGCAGACTGTTGCTCGCTCGGACCGGGCTAGGCTAACGCGGCGTGCGCAAGTGCGAGCCCCTTCCCCCCACGAAACGCTCGCTACCTACGCCAGCCGCCAGCCGCCAGCAGCCAACAGCCACGCGCAATGCCTTCACTCGCATCCTCTCCTTTGTCTCGGAGCTTAATTGTCACGTTGACTACTAATCAACTGTTAGACCCAATCTGGACGGATCATGCTACTTTGAAATACTACCAGGGCAGACAAGTTTAAAACATTAATCTTCATTGAACCAACCAACAAGATATTCGATCACCTACTCGACTATTAAGGAAAACTCTATGATATTTGTATTATTCTTATTATTATTGCGCTGATACTGATTAAAATTGAGCGATCTCGTTTCTCATTCCCAGGACGATCTTTTTTATTTTAGACAATGTTATATTATCACACATATCTTTATCCCTCGGATCGCTCCATCCACCAAAGCCCACAACATCGTCATTAACTAATGGGTCATCCTCATCTTGAATGGGAATGTATAATTCCAGGTGCGTAGGAAATAAGAAATCGTTTAAGTTTTTCTGCAATTCTAATATTTGATAAACATTTTCTTTAATATCACAATACTCTAAAGTTCGCTCGAACATACACGAGTTTATCTTGTACGTCCTTGGAAACATACTTGATAATATTCTGAATCTCGAAGCCTTCTTTCGTTTGTCTGATACATAAATTAATGATCGAGTCCAAGAACTATCATCAACAGCACAAAATAAATCATAATTAGAAACGATACTATTCCAAACGTTGAAGTCAAATGCTAGAGCACTTGGCTCATAGTTTAGATCCCATGGTGTAAGTTCTAAACCGTCAATACTTCTCAAAAAATTTAAATTCCTATGGTCGAGTGTCAAAAACTCACAGGTACCCAGGTCATTAGATATTTTCTCCATAAACAAAATCATGTATAAAAAATCTTTCAATAAATATATATCGTCGTTTAAAAAAACAACTACTCTTTCATAATCCATAACAATACTTAAAACACTTTCAAATACTACATTAGCTGTCCACCACCAATGCTGCTTTTGCTGTACATGTTTTGGGTCTCTAAAGTGCCCTCGAATATCAGGAAAAAGGAAACCAGTACAGTTGATTGCTCGGGCAGTTTTCATATCCATATCATGGGGACAGTCTTGGAGACTATATCCAGGAAATTCGTCTGGATACATTTGTAATGAGTAAGGGTAGTATATTTGCAGTACTCGACAAAAATCTATCGTTCCAATCAGCTTGTTGATATCTTCATCATAAATGGAGTGTGAAAAAACAAGTAATACCTGATGAATTCCTCGAATTTGTGATAGGGAAACTATTAGGAATTGTAAATTAATTGAAAACTTGTCCACCGTTATGGCGAATACGATTGTATTATTTGTAATTGGTCCAAAGTTATCGCTATTTAATATATTTATTTTTTTGTTATGATGACTAACTATCGTCCTCAATTGTATAATATCCTTAGGCCTACCTTTGGACTTTTCAAATAATATATATTTCAAAGCATTATTAGGAATTTGCATTGCAACCCTTTGGTTATGCATCTTTTTACTTTGGTAGACAATCAGAAGAAATAGCAGTATAAGAACTAGGAAGGTATTTCGCAGTTTTTTAAGGATACGTTCTACTCTTTTCCCCATCTTAATCGAAAGTTTCACTTTAATTTCAAATAATTTAAGTTAACCTTCGTAACATAAAATAACAATACAAAATTTTATTAAAACTAAAGTACTTTTAGTTCTCTACAAATATTTAAATGTCAAGAAACTTACGTGAATTTTTTTGAGAGATGGACAGAAAATACATAGACAACAAAAATCACATAACAAACTGTTCGTCTCGTCTTGTTCTATGGTCAAACCAGGTCAAATATATCATTGGGTCAAACTTAATTCCTGAAAATAAAAATTTAAATGGCACGTCGGGACTATAACCTTTCTTTTTCAACCATCTTAAACTTATGCGTCGTAATTAACGGCTATATTAAAAATGTTTTGTCTCATAGTTTATTTTAATTTTGTAAACGGCGTATCTTTTTCAACGGAGGAGGTTATCAAGTCGACGCGTATATTTTTTTTATGTATGATCACGCATAACTTTATTGGAAGGGGTATAATCCGAAATTGGTCACATATGGTCCCATATAAATTACGAAAAAACAATCCTTTATTTAGGGTAGCTCCCCTACTAGTGGGGGTGATTTTTTTTTTTGCTAGAAAGGTTTTATGTAGGGTAATGATTTAACAGACAAATAAAGGTGATCGCAACGTACGCGCGACACGTGTTTCACTCACATGTACAGGTCACAGGTTTCACCAGCAGCATACGCTCTGCATTTTGTAAAGTATATTTGGAAAGGTGGTGCGTTAGCCGAGTATGTGCTGACAAATGTGCGATCAGCTTATTTGTTAACTTAACTTATGATTTTTTAAAGTGGAGCTGCAGTTTTTATATTTTTATATTATGTTTATATTTTTATCGGGAGGACAACGTCAAAGAAACTATCACTGAAACACAGGCTTTCCCCATGGCATTGGGAGATCTGTTAGGACTCCAGCAGTGATAAAAGCTGTGAAGGTGCGAATTCAAAGATATCCCAAACGTAAGCAGAAACTGTTGGCCGTTCAGATGGGGTTAAGCAGAACCACGGTGAAAAGGGTGTTAGATGAAGATTTAGGGCTACGGGCATAACAGGACATCGTTTGAATGCTCGTCTAATGGACCTGAGACTGAAGAGATGCCGCGCTTTGTTGAAGCCGTACGCGGGAAACAAATATCGAGAAATTCTTTTTTCGGACGAAAAAATTTTTACCGTAGAGCTACAACAAACAAAATGATAAGGTGTACGAACACAGTAGTGAAGAAGCGAGCAACCGTATTCCGCGTGTCCAACGAGGTCATTTTCCATCCTCGCTCATGGTATGGTTGGCAATTTCTTATTGGGGCTTAACAGAGGTACATTTTTGTGAGAAAGGTGTAAATACGAATGCAGTTGTGTATCAAAATACAGTCCTGACGAACCTTGTGGAACCTGTTTCTCATGTCCCATGTTCAATAACAGGCACTGGGTATTCCAACAAGATTCGGCTCCAGCTCATAGAGCGAAGAACACACAATACTGGTTTTCGGCGCGTGAAATCGACTTTATCCGGCACGAAGACTGACCCTCCTCCAGTCCAGATTTGAGTCCGTTAGATTACAAGATAAGGCAACATTTGGAGGAAAAGGCGTGCTCAAAGCCTTATCCCAATTTGGAGTCACTCAAGACATCCTTGATTAATGCAGCCGCCGATATTGACATGGACCTCGTTCGTACTGCGATAGACGACTGGGCGCGCAGATTGAAGGCCTGTATTCAATATCACGGAGGTCATTTTGAATAAACTTTATTTTTATAAGAATCTATGTTTTGTTACGATCATTTCGGTATATAAATGGTTATATAATGAATAAACTTGTTTCAATTATTTTATATTAAACATGTGACAGAATTTATGACCTGACTAGGTATACCTACATAAGTATCTTTAAAAAACAATTATTGGTTTATTTGTTATATTAACAATAATAATAAATAACGATTTTATAAAATGTAACAGATTTTTAAATTGTACAATCGTTGAAGGCTTTTTTCCTTTTAGATATAAAAAAATAGTAACAAAAAACTAAAAGTTCCTACTCACTCGAACGTCATGCCAATAACTAAGTAAATGTCATGCCAAACTCTAAAAAAATAAAGCTATCACAGCACTTTTTATTTTAAAAATATTCCACATGTGTAATTTTCCAATTGCAATGAATTCTATGAACTTATTTTAGCTTATTTAAGAAATTAACGTTTGCTACGTCTGATTTATTAAGTAGAATATAGAGTCTTTTAGTATTTGTAATGAAGAATGTTAATAGGTACTTATGCCAAATCGGTTGAAAGTTTGTTACATGAAAGCTTGTATACAAATACACCAGTGTTTGTTGTAGTCAAAACTAACTATTACTTTTGATTATACAGGCATTTAAACCAGGGATGTTACGGAGCTTCGACTCCGATTTCGATAAGGCGGAACTTCCGATTATTATTACACCTTCGGTTCCTATTTCGGCTCCGAAACTTTTAAATCGGTGGTTGAAGCATAGCAAATAGGATGGGATGTAGCTTCGCTCTGCATCTTCTATCGCATTTATCACGGGGAGTGTTCTGAGGAATTGTTCGGATTAATTCCAGCTGCTGCATTTCGCCATCGTACATCGCGACAAAAATTTCATCCCCATCATCTTGATGCGTGGCTATCCACAACCGTTCGTTTTTGTCGAAATTTTTTACCACGTACGACAAAACTGTGGAATATATTGTCGCCAGCAGTGTTTCCGGACCAATACGACCCAAAAACCTTTAAAAAAGAGCGTACTCCTTCCTTAAAGGCCGGCATCGCATTTGTGATACTCCTGGTGTTGCAAGTGTTCATGGGCGACGGTAATCACTTACCATCAGGTGAGCCGTCTGCTCGTATGCCCCCTATAAAATAAAAAAAATAAAAAAAAAATAGCGACAGCGGCCTGCGTCGACCGTAACGAACTGGTTCGTACCCGTCGCGTTGGGAAATTAAATGTCCCGCACGGGACAGGCTCCACCCCGCTTTTCGGGAATAACTCGACCGTTCGGCACAGACAAGTGTGGACTGGCCACCTGCCCGGCGCGTAATGAAGAACTCTCCAACATAGACTCAACTATTTAACGATAGGGGAAATCTGATTTAAAATATCATATTTTTATTAAAATACATTTTCTACTACTTACTACGTATCTATCTAATGTCACGTAAACGTAATTTGAACTGAAATAAAAAGATAAATATTCAAAAACTTTTATTGTATATAATATATGATTATATACGTTTTTTTACTATGTACCGCTTTCGATGATCCGCTTTTTTCACTCAAAAAGTTCCTAACTCCCGACTTGGCAAAAAAAACTGGCAACGCTGGTCTGTGTTAATAATAAATAAATGCCCTAGAACGCACAGCAAGGAGAAAATGCTAGTTGTGTTCGGAATCATTCATAAACTCTAATCAGGCATTTATTGAGATATGGACAACTTGAGGAACTGTGGCCTACTACAGAATGTATTAGATTTGGAGGTTATAATTATTATACTTAATCGAAAAAGATGTACATATTATATATTCTGAATAGATTTACTGTTTACCTCTATGTAAGCACTTAAATAATATGCATTAAATGAACATAAAATGCAATTAATAATAAAAATAATAAATGCTTATATTCATATTGATTTATGAATGTTGGCAGTTTTTACCTATGATACCTTTACCCTTCCTATACCTACCTGTTGTAATAATAGATTTCTTTTCAAATGAAATCACTTGGCAGGCTGTGGCAGTTAGAACTGCTGTATCAGCTATCTTCGCGTCTGGACTTCACCTTCACTTAACATCAGGTGGGGTGGAGTCATTTGTCGGATCTATCTATAAAAAAAATGTTCAAAATCTTTCCATTTACTTGTTTCTATATTTTACTATCGGTAATAATGTATGTACCTGGTTATCATTATGATTTTCATAAAAATAAACAGTATAAAGTATGTTTACATAATTTCAGAAATAATATTTTTATTTATAAAAAAATTATGATCTAAATACTAGTGATAAGTATTATTAACTAAGGTACCTAGTTCTATTCTTATGTTGATAATATACCTATGGTGGCCTATATTGCATTTATTAAAGTAAACAATCTTGGCACAACTTTTAAACAAAATCACCCATTTAATAATAAAATAATAATGAAGCCAATAAACTATTAAAATTAATCGTTATTACAGACCTATTGAATCCAGTTATCAGTTGATTTTTAATGCTGTATTTTCAATAAAAAGGAGTGCGAAGATTGTTTACCAAATAGGACAAGTTAGGATAAACAGACTGTAGTATCTAGTAACAGAACTTTTTTTTTTAATTTTTAAACTGATTGTCCGTTCCTTATTTTAGAAGTTACAGGGGGGGGGGGGGGGGGGGGGGGGGGGGGCACATTTTACCACTTTAGCAACTAAAAATTTGGAATTAGGCTCATCTGACCCTTTACTAGAAAATCTATTGTTTTTTCTCTCAATCTTAGTAAATAAATTTTATTAAAAAATCTGATGTTTTTTCTCACTTAATCTAAGTAAATAAGTTTTATTAAATAGAAACTTTTTTTGCTCACTCTACCTATTTGGTTTGAATTGACAGCTATGACGTAAAAATATGGCGCCCAGTCGGTCCTATTCTTAGTTGAATCGCATTATATAAAATAAACACACAATAGTTCACGACGCTACATGGCTTTCTTTTAAGAAATATTAATAGTTCGATTTGTCCACGTCTACCTAGTTACTTATTTTGAATTTATCTAATTATGTATAATAATTTATTAATTAATTTAGATAAAAGAATAAACTATACCAACAATCTACCTACTTGAAAACAGTACTTTAATTATGTAGTCCTATTTTAAATTCGATAGGTTCGATTGATAAAATTTACAATTATAAGCTTTTAGGAAAAAAAATATATAACTTACCGGTAGTTAGCACAAAAGCCTTAAATTTATAAATCGCGCCTTTTCAAACTCATTGCTACCAACCAAGGCAATTTCACATGTTTGCCAACTTCAGGTACGAAATGCTAACCTTCCATTAATATTATTTTCATTATATTACACAAACAAGGTGAAATGAAAGATACATAAAATATTTATCAATTAAGAAACTTGTTTTATTTCATTTTATCATAATAAAAGCATATAGATCAATCTTTAATAAACATTGAATCTCTCAACGACTGTATTTCCGGTCGCCTTATTTCACCACCAGACAGCGCCACTAGCGCGACGTCACTCGTGTATCTATAGTTTCCTTCTGTTTTGAAACCCAAGCTTAGTGTTAAAGTTCCTTGAGAATTATTGTAACTGCAACTGAAAAGAATAATAAAGTGTAATTCATCAATTTCGTAAAAATGGAAAAGAGGGTCGCTTTGGAGCTAAGGGGAAGGAATCCTTCACAGGTAAATGATGCATATTTTTCGATATATTGGAATGTTTTGTCGATACGTATTTCGTCAGGTACAGAGATGTAATACGTAAAAAATTCGATTACAGCAGTAATATCACTGTAATTATCTATTAACTAAGTTAAAATATTATTCTAGTATGTAAATCCAATTCATAATTGGATATGTGGCGCTATTGTACAAAGAAAATTAGCCATTACCGACTGTTACGTTTCATTCATGTGCACATAATTGTTACGATTTCTACTGAAGTTTTTCACAATTCTCATGTTTCCTCGTAAACTTCTATACTGTACCAATTGAATGCCCCATTCAATATGTTATTTTATCAGTCCTAAAAAAAATTATTGCTAATGTTCACATATTGAGGTTAAGTGTTGAAACCCATGAATTTACGTGGAATTCTCAAGTTTAACCTTATGTTCAAGTCAGTGCATAAAACTATAATCAATGGTTGCTGTAATATAATTATTTTCTATTTAAACAAAGAGAAAAGTTCTTCTAAAGCTTTAGTATTTCAAAAATAGGGCTCATTGATTATAAGCCTGTCAATGTCAATACGTATTTCATAGCGTCCAATAGTCAAGTTTCTTAATTCATTTCTAGTCCTAAATTAAATAATAGGTGATGCTCTTTTGTAGCACTTCTTGGACTACGCCAATTTTATAACATTTACAGTTATGAGGAATTTAGCAATGTAAACTTGTAACAAGGTGTTCGGCATAATTTCGCGCCCTTTCACTCGATTTTTTATTGCATTAAAGTTATCAATCTTTTACTCTAGGGTTGGTAAATACAAGCTGCTTTTGTGTAATAGTTATTATATTTGGGTGTCTCAGCAGCTATTTATAAGCACTTTCAAACATTATTTGACGCACGCCTTACCAATACATACAGCGGCCATTTTTATTGCGTCGCGATGTTTCGTGTCATCCGCCATTGCAAAATGAAAACTATGAGTGATAAATCCGCAAATACAACACATTGATTACGTTTCGTGCTTTAAGAAGTTATACAATCACTCCCCTTACTTATTACAAGTTATATTTTTTAGAAATAATCACTTATTTCTTCGAATTTAGCAACTACGCCAGTCGCTTTGACAACTCGCACCATTTTGACGTTTACTTCCCTGTGCCTAGTGATCACATCAATAATTATTCACCAAGCCAGTAACAATACTAATTAAATTGCTACTATCCATTTGAGGACTTATAAGTGGCCAATTTTACCAAAAAATCATACATTTTTTTATCAACTAAAATGGTTTTCAGAATGGTTTTTAAATAAATACATGGTAGGTATTTAGACATGAATCATCCTTGCAGTGTAGTTTTAATTTTAGTTGAGAAAGAAATAATATATATAAATTGTAAGTACATGTGCAAAACCACTACTTACAATAAAAAATCTGAGTGACAATGTTAAAATAATTATTATTTAAATGCTTTTAACTACTTATACAAGAGCTATCTACAATATAAATCTATGCTATAGATTTAACTAGATACTCAGTTGTACATGTTTACTGTTTTGTTTTGTCCTTGAAAAGTTTCATAGTCAGTAACATAGATGGCGTTTGTTCATTCATCTTCAGTAAGTTACTATTTGTAACATAATTTTGTACACAATAAAATAGGTGTTTCAGTCAACCTAGGTGTGACCTGAGTTAAAAACCATTGACTTGTATCAGATTATAAGTACAATATGAAGCTGTAGTATCAAGTCATTAATTTTTATTTAATAGACACATTGTATGGTTCATAGTACATCTTTAGGATTGCCAACTGTAAATTTTAAACTAAGAAATGGAGATCTAAAATGCAGATTATCAACGGAAAATCTAGACGTACCTTTCTCTTATAATCTTTTAATTTTTATTCAAAAATGCTATTCATTTAAACAAGCATGAGTGTTATGAAGCTCTTAAATCAAACTTTCTATCCAAAATTTGTAAATAATCATGGATAGGAAATGAGACCACAATTCTTATTGCAGTCTTATAATATCTAAGAACTATATATCAATCAAAATATTTGTCATATCTACAACCAAGATCTTAAATTTAATATCCAAGAATACTGATAAAAGAAAAATTTTAATCCGAACCATATTTAAATCCCACCTAATATTAATCTTATACAAATTCAGTAAAGCCTGGCCAGGTGGCAACCCTACACATTAACTATACAATAATCAGACAGATAACATGTATAAGCCTTATTTAAACCGCTGAGCTTTTGGTATTGATTCGAACTAAGATTTTGTCCATAAACAGTAGTGATGGATTTCCCACGCATAACTATGCGTTATGCGTAACATCTGGTTTCACTATCAGTACAAAAAGTTATCAACATTCTGTGTTTTTCATTGTCACCCCAGAAAAGGCTTTCTTTTTTCCCATTTTTTTTATATGAAAAAACTATAAGGGTATTACATTATTTAATCCTGTTTAGGAAAATAGGATTAAATAATGATACCCTTATATTTTTTTCTTATTTATTTAATGAGAGCAGAGATTTTATTATCTTAAGAAATTGGTTTATCTTCTCTTTGCAGGTGAAAGAGTTGAACCTGGATAATTGTAGAAGCACTAACATTATCGGGCTCACAGATGAATACATCAACTTGGAAATTCTAAGCCTTAACAATGTAGGTCTTACAACACTGAAAGGTTTTCCTGCACTGCCCAAACTCAGGAAACTTGAACTATCTGACAACAGAATATCCAATGGCCTCCAATTCCTCAATGGCTGCAAGAAACTGACACATCTGAACCTCTCAGGGAATAAAATCAGAGATCTTGATACACTAAAACCCCTTGAGGAATTTGAGAACTTGAAAAATCTTGATCTCTTTAATAATGAAGTCACCAGTATTGATGACTATAGGAGTAAGGTGTTTGCTCTACATCCATCATTGAAATATTTAGATGGGTAAGTAATAAAATAGCCTCATTATAGTTTTACAGATACATTTTTGTTTTAGCTAATGAACCAATGAGTATTATGGTTATTAGATTGGTATTTCTCAAAAATCTTTATCAGGCATCCACTTTTTGACCACCCCTGGGAAAAAGTGGGATGTTATTTATTTAATAGATGATGCCTTAACTGGAATAACCCAAATTAAATTATTAACTTGCAATTTTTTTCAGATTTGACAAAGAAGATGGAGAAGCAGAAGACAGTGACGCTGAAGAGGAAGATGAAATGAATGGAAATAATGATAGTGATGAAGATAGTGAGTACACTAATACAAAGATAATATGTATATAAAAGAATTCAAAAGCAATGCTTTAGAAGGCACTATTGTTTGACCTGAATAACTTCATATTTCATTCCAACCCTCAAAGGTTGATCATATTGTATCTCTCCCTTATAACTATATACAAGGCATGTGTCTTATCAGAAATTAGTTTTACTACACATCATCACCAGCCTAGTAACGTCCCCACTGCTGGGGCACAGGCACAGGCCTTCCCTATGGATGGAATATAGATTAACCACGTGGGCCCAGTACGGTTTGGTGGGTGCTAAAGACCGCAGATGCTGGCTGCATCTAACCCAACCAACCAAAACCAACGGTATAACATGCCTTCCTAAGCACAGAACAGCTCAAGATAGTAAATTTTTAGTCACCTATCCAATGACGAACCACTGCAAAATTTGCTTAACTTCAACGATCAATGCCGAACGGGCTAATGACTTGCGCCACCGAGCTCCTCAGAAAATAGTAAGCTGATTAATTAGGATCTATACAGATAGTAATTTGGTTAAATGCAATGTGATTGTGCAGGATACATACACAATATTTCTATAGAAGTACGATCATAAAAACTGACTATAATGATTTTATGTGACATTAACATTCCCTTACAACATCACTTTGTCGTACGTACCTGTGTTGAGTGTCTACTAACAAAATATACCAACCACTGTATAATATCACTGTTCATATAATCATTCTTAGCATTTTTCCAAGTCATCCTTGTATTCATATTTTAATGAAATTGGTAGTTTCCAACAAATTTATACTTCCAGATTTAGCAATAAGTCTCAGTCAGCTGGTGATTGATGATGTATCACAGCATCCTGAGGATAGCAGAACTTCTTTGCCTATGTTGTTATACACAGTTTATGGCCTTCTATTCCACATGGGCTTTCTTATAAGAAGTAAGCATCGCAACTCCTCTGATGCTTCTTGTATATTCATATGTAACAAGTATTAGTTAAGCAACACTATGTAAAAGAGAAAAAAATATTTTATATTTATGAGATGAATAATTATTACAGGTTCTGATGTCGAAGAAGAAGAGGATGACGAAGATGTTTCACTAAGTGCAGTTTATAATGAAAATCTTGGTAAGATATGTTTAAATAAAGAACTTTTTTATTCATTGAGACTTACATTTGCGTACTTATTTCCTAAATTAATTTGGGTTCTGCATTATCAGAAATCAATATATCTTTATTCAAATTGGATGTGAACACTTTAAAATCGTCCAAACATTTTTTTCCCTACCACTTGTTATTGGACATATTTTTTAGCTAGGGAGAAAAATGAGCGAAAAAATCTCCACAACATTAAAAGAATAATGTAACAACATTTACAAATCATTATGTTGTTACAACGTCAATACAATCATGATTTATTTAATATGAACACCTGTTGGAATGATTGGAACAGTTCAAACCCAAGCATTTTTGTCTGTAATATAATCAGACACTTTGTAATAAGCTTTTTTAATAAGTGCTTTTTTTATACTATCTTTGAATTTATTTATGCTTAACTCTTGGATATTGCTTGGGACTTTATTGTATAAGCGAACACAAAGACCTTTAAATGAATTATTGATTTTGTGAAGTAGCAGATAAAGTTAGTTTATTTTTGTTTCTTGTATTAAGTGTGTGAACATCACTGTTTTTAAGAAACAAATTAATATTTTTACTTACAAGTAATAAATTTTCGTAAATGTATTGTGATGCGACCGTCATTATACCAAATTCTTTAAACCTATCTCTTAAGGAATCCTTCACTTTAAGATTAGGTATAAATTGATCGAATAGCTCTCTTCTGCAGCACAAAAATAGTTTGAATGTCGGCGGCGTTTCCCCACAATAAAATTCCATACGACATTACACTATGGAAATAACTAAAGTACTTATACTAAGCTGGCCGTATCTACATCCGTTAACTGGCGTATCTTCATTACGGCATATGCTGCAGAACTAAGTCTATTTGATAATTTATCAATATGTGGGCCCCATTGAAGCTTAGAATCTAAAGTAATCCCTAAGAATACTGTGGTGTCTACAAGACCCATATTCCTATCCTTTACATTCACACTGGTTTTTACCTGTTTTACATTAGGTAATACAAATTTCATACATTTCGTTTTTCCTTCATTTAGTAATAAATTATTAACATTAAACCAGTGGACTACCTTAGAGATACAACTGTTCACGTCGTCAATAACTGTTTCCTTACGTTTGAGTTTAAATAAAAGTGATGTATCATCCGCGAACAATACTATCTCATGCTTATCTCTAACGTAGTAAGGCAAGTCATTAATATAAATTAAAAATAAGAAACGACCAAGGATTGAGCCCTGCGGAACACCCATTTTAACCGGCGAACCCGCAGACTTATTGCCGTTAATGTCAACCCTCTGAATCCTATCCATCAGGTATGACGCAATAAGATCCAGATCAGTATCTCTAAATCCATAGTGGTGGAGTTTCCTTCCATTAAAGGTAAACATGTGCTTTGTCCACAATAAACAAATGGTATTCTGTGAACAGACAAAACACTACATAACTGGACCAATCGTATTCTGCATTTTAACTAGCGATCCACCCCACCTTTGCAGGAGTGAACCTAATTTTACGCCAAAAAATATAGCCTATGTAACTCGGTAGTTTTTTAGTTTATTCGTAACAGATATGCAAATCTTTCAACCTTTTAATATTACTGTAAATAAGACTTCCTTTTTCTCCTTTAGTTACTACTGGAATTGACCCATTGATTACATAATTCAATGAGACGACCTCCGTGGCCGAGTGTTTTGTACGCCGGGTTTCATGGTGTCGCCGACTCGAGAGGTCCCGGGTTCGAATCCTGGTGGGGGCAGATGTTTGTGTGAGAAATACGAGCATTTGCACTCCAGTCATGGATGTTTAATATGTATTCTATATAAATATAAGTATATGTGTACAATTTATGTATTCTGTTACCCTAGCATCCCATAACACAAGCCTTATAGTGCCGACTTTGGGACTAGACTAATTGGTGTGAGTGTTGGAAATATTTATTATTATAATATATTTTTGTACCTGCAGAGGAAGAAAGCTCAGCGAGCTCAATGTTCGATGGCAGCGATGTATCAGAGGAAGAGGATATAGACGAGGAGGACGGTGAAGGCGATAATGACGCTGATGGAGACCACACTAACAGTAAGGTTCAAGGTGAGAGATATTTATATTTTTAAAGAAAACTTTACTACAAAAATTCCACGCGGACCAGGCAGCAGACGGGACTCGAACCCGCACCTTTCGCTATCCGAGCAAATGCACTGACGATTATGCTACCGAGGCCCTGACGGCCGTGCCGAATTTTCTCTAGCCTTAGGCTGCAATGCAGCGCCATCTCTTCGCAGTGTAGGTAACCCACAATGTCAAATACCAAGTATTAAACATTTGAAAGAAGAAATAGCAATTATAGTTATATATTTGTTTTTTTTTTAACATTTAACTGCTAGATGTTTAAATCTAAAGGAAATTTTACTAGAATAAATTCCACGCGGACCAGGCAGCAGATGGGACTCGAACCCACACCTTTCAATTTTCTCTAGTAAAATTTTCTTTAGCTGTAAACATCCAGCACTCAAATGCTTAAAAAATATATATCTTATATATAAAATTCTCGTATCACAATGTTAGTTACCATACTCCTCCGAAACGATTTGACCGATTTTTATGAAATTTTTAATATGCATATTCCATGGGTCTTAGAATCGGCAACTATCTATTTTTCATAAGGGTTGTCCACCTGTAACGTAGTGTTCTGAAACCTACAATGCGCCTTCGCGTCAAAATTCAAACTGTTGGGTATTGTAACGTAGTGTTCTCATATGGGTTAGGAGGAATGTTATCCCAGGAAATTGATACACTACGTACACACCCCTAAAAACTTTTTTCTGGACACTATTTTTTTTTATTATGTGGTATTACAAAATACATAAAATCCTAAATTTTCACTCTTCTACCACCTGCCCCTATTTTTATGGCGGTACGAAGTTCGCTGGGTCAGCTAGTATATATATATATATTTATGATAAAAGAGTGGCAAACAAGCATACGGCCCGCCTGATGGTAAGCGGCCGATATATAGCCTATAGATGCTTTCAATACCAAAAATAACACTCGCGCCTTTACCTACCCCGACCCAATCCCCTACCCCGTGGAGCCCTGGAATATTGCACACCGATAGGAACAACACCACCAAAAGGTTGTGTTATATTACTGTGGTCTTGAGGAGCTCGATGGCGTAAGTGGTTAGCACGTTCGGCTGCGATCGTTGAAGTTAAGCAACTTTCGCAGTGGTCAGTCATTGGATGGCTGACCAAAAATTTACTATCTCGAGCTCCTACATGCTTCGGAAGGCACGTTAAACCGTTGGTCCCGGCTGCATCTGCAGTCGTTAGCACCCACCAATCCGCACTGGGCCCGCGTGGTGGGTCATGGCCCAATCTCCGTATACCATTCATAGGGAAGGCCTGTGTCCCAACAGTGGGGACAATTAATAGTCTGATGATGATGACTCTTGTCTTTTGTAAAGTGGAGGTTACTTTCCCAGGCGTTCGCTCCTGGAGAATCCAATTGGAGCGGAAAATCCGCCATATAAAGTTGAGCTGTTTTTCAATAGCTAACTTGCCTCTGATTCACTATCCCAGGAGATTATATCCTACTAATACTATAAAGGTGTGTAAGTTAGTATGTTTGCACCTCAAACATGCAAAAATGGCTGAATGGATTTCGATGGAATTCGGCACACATTGTTTATTTCGATTATGAGACATAGGATTATTTTTATCACGAAAAAATATTCGCTTCCTGATGGATTCTCTAAAAACTAACTAAACCGCAGACAAAGTCGCGAAAAATATAAATATTGCAATTTTTAAAGTGTATCTTTTTCAAGAGCCATGTTAAGCAATTCTGGATGTATAGCCACTAATGCATTTTGCTTTTGTTGCTTCGTGTACAGTTGTGTGATGTGTGGTGCTTTTTTCTTTTATGCCTCTGATTGACACTGGAGCTGTATTAAACTAATAATGATATCAGAACAGTTTTAAATGTACTCGATCGGAAATGCGCTTTTGCCAATTTATATGCAATCTAGTGAAAGCTAAGATAACGAAATAAACGACAAAAATTACTTAGCTTCCTTTATAGAAGGTCTAGTAAATAGGGGGAGTAGTGATTTGAGAAAATTATGCTCTTTCTTTCACTCAAAGTACAGCTTATTATGTTAAGTGCAAGTAGAGTTTTAGTCGCGAAGGTAGATGACAGGGCTTACGAATGTAAATTGAGAAGCTCGATGGTGCTTTCCATCTGCAATCGTGGAAGTCAAGCCGCTTTTGCGATGGCCGTCAGCAAATGGGTGACTAAAAATTTAACAATCTCGAGTACCTCATGCTTCGGAATGGTTGATTGGGTTGGCTACATCTGAAGTCGTTAGCACCCACCAACCCACACTGGGCTACGTGGGGATCATGGCCAAATCTCCCTATTCGATCCAGAGGGAAGGCCTGTGCCCCAGCAATGGGGCATTAATAGGCTGATGATCATGATATATTAAATTGGGCCTAAATATAATATAACCTCACCAACAAACTCGTAACCATCTTGTAATCCTGTAACTCCTTATGAATGTTGTTCATTTATTAGTAATTAAGGGCCGCCCCTGACTACGTCCGAGTTAGCTTTAGTTTTTTAAGAACTCCACAGGAACCTGACAACTTCCGGGATAAAAGTATCCTATGTCTCAATCCAGGTCTTAAACTAAATGCGTACCAAATTTCATCCAAATCGTACCTCTAGCACGAACCAATATCGAATTCGAATAGTTTGCGAGTGCGAAATGTCATTGTCAAATTTTGTATAGAAACTTGAACAGCAGCGCCACAACGGACGTAACTAGAACTAAAAATCTGGTCAAATTTGACAATGACATTTCAGATTCGCAAACTATTCGAATAGGATATTGTTCGTGCTATAGGCGTAAAAGCGGAACAAACAAAGAAACTGGTGTTGTTTCTTTCGGTGAGTAGGGCTCCACGGGGTAGTGGATGGGATCAGGGTATGCAACAGCGCGAGTGGTACTGTTTATATCGAAAGCATCTATAGGCTTTGGAAGCCCATGAGGCGGGCAATAAGCTAGATTGCCATCCTTTCAAAATGAAAAAAAAACCTTCGCATTTATAATGTTAGTAAGGATTTTTAAATAAAACTATTTTTTACGTGTTAGATGAATTTATTGACGTTTCGCAGCCTTTTCAGGTCTGCGTAGTCTAAATAATAATTTTTTATTTACTTTGTCGAGCTACCTTTGAAAGACTTTTATTGAGCGTTTGGATATATCATTGCAAGATTTTGAAGTTTTACAAAAAGTCATTATTCAGATGACGCAGACCTGGGGGCCAATCGCCTAACTGGATTGCTTTGGAAAACGCTATCGCTTACGATTTCATTTTGTTATTTCTAGCCCCCTGAGGTTTTCAAATGCCTCGCGCTTTTTTTTTTCTTTTGCATTGGTAATAACAATGTTAAAGAAAATGAGCGTGAGGTATTTCGGCGGTTAGAAATAACAAAATGAAATCGTAAGCGATAGCGTTTCCAAAGCAATCTGGTTAGGCGATTGGCCCACTGAAAAGGCTGCGAAACGTCAATAAATTCAGTACATCTAACCCGTAAAATCAATTTTATTTAATGAGTGATGTGCGTGAAAACCTAAGATACAATTAAGGAGTTTAACTTTTCTTCTAAGATGGTGACGAAAATGCAGACGGTGAGCCCGAGGAGAGCACTCGGGGTAAAAAGCGGAAACACGAAGACGATGACGAGAATTGAGCGTTGCCTTAAGCGGAGTTATCTTACTAGTTTGTAAGTGTACAGCGCCCCGTGCGCGAACAACTGGTGAGAAAGTTTTCGTATTGCCATCGTCAAAGTTTCTATAAAAGGAGCTAGTTTGTTCTTAAGTCCGGTAGAGGCGCTGCCTAGTTTCCATAGAAACTTCACGAAAACGATACGCTCAGAGACTCGCTCGAAAATAACTAAAGCGTAGTAGTAATGCTATGACGTTTGAGTGTACACTCCCATAGACAATAAATTACCGTGAAGTGAAGATTTCCAATAAAGTAAAGGCGTTGGCCGCTAGCATTGGACATTAGATCGCTCTTTAATTTGATTTCGTAAAGGTAACAAAGGTATCCAATTTGAGGTTTGTTAGTTGTAAGCACTCTGTTCATAGCAACATATTTGTCCCTTTTTGATCTACATGTAAAAATAAGTTAAATATTTAAGTCGACTTTTCCATATAAAGTTGAATTTATACTCTTTCAATGCTTTAGTTCTTGTCCTGAGGTTTCCATAGAAAATTTTAACGATGGCAATAAGAATCTTTCAACTTTCGTGCTTGGGGTACAGCGCTCCGATGCATCGGACAATAAACCTGGCTCTGTACCGCAACCATTCGTCTAAAGAGAAAAGGGTGGTAATTCTACTAAGTAACTATATAATTGTGTCTTACAGCATTCAGAAATGTGAATTAATATTTAGGTGAGATTAAAGTTAGTAATGGCTAACTGTCGATTCTGGCATTTTTTTTTTGTTTTCTAAAGTTTAGAAAATTATGCCTGAATCGACACCAGTGAGTGACTTTAAATTATCATAAGTTTATTTAACATTCTCTGAGTCTGGTTATCTGTAGTGTTTCAGTGGCATATATTTTCTTTTTGAAACACAAAATAAGTAATGCATATACATAACAACAAGTAACTGAACTATTGTTTTGTCTTTTACCAACAAGAACTGTATCAAAAAGCAATACCATTGAAACATTACTGAGTAATGATTCTGACATGATTCTCTGAACTTAAAACTAAATAAGACAGCTAGTCTATACTTTTCATTCTTAAATAATGGAGTATGATAAGGATATTTTACTGTCAATTTAGTAGTAGGTATCGAGACTTATTCCAGACTAAGTTAACTTCGCAGAATCGACCCCTTTTCTTTTATAGGAATGGCGGACGAGTACTGTTACGGTCGTGGTAAAAGTCGCAGAACACGATAAAGTTATGTTGCATTCATCCCTTAGACTAGTTGTCACCATTTGTCACCTTTTTGTTGTGAAGGATGAAGTGAAAATGCTTTCGACAAAAAATAACACCGCGACGACATACTGTTTCTGAAATGTTTACTATCATTGAATGTTGATGTCTATTCTGTGTGGAATCTGTAGTTTGTTGTCCGACAAGTTAATGTTTCAATTAAATTGTTTATGTAATAATATTTTTTTATTCTATTGACATGCTTAATTATAGTCTAATCATTGAAATGGAAGTGCATGATATTAGGATAAAATAGCTCTCCTTCTAAAACAAAGTATGATTTGAATGAATTACATTAATTAGTTGTAAGTGGGAGGAACAAAAGTATTAGGGTAAACAGAATGATTCCATGCCCTTGGAAAACATACAAAAAATAAGATGTGGGCTCCGCCTTTTTATTAATGACCAAATTAGACTGATAAACACATACATTATAACCATTATAACTATGAGGAGGTCAATTTGCACATAGAAATTTTAAGTAAAAATGTCCAAAATTTATTTTGAAAGTACAAGTAAAAGTTTATTTAAAGCGTGCTCTTGGCGCGGTCATTAGTAGGATAAAGTGTAACTAGAATACCTTGAAACTTTAAACACTATTTATTATTTTCTAACACAAATTATTATTATACTATATTTCTTCGGGTTTGAATATTATCTTGGTAAACTAAATTCTGGTTCATATTATTGTTTATAAAATATATTTTTATAATTTCTTCATTATTGCGTAATCTCACTAATGATAACGGACATCGTTGATTGGCATTTCGAAACTGATTCCAAAGGGCGTAAAAAAACATGTAATCCAAATATAAATTAGATGAAATCTTGATTCTTTGATCGGTTCAGAGAATATTTTTCTACAATCTTTTTAAACTTGAAAGAGCAATTTATGCACTAAGAATATCAATGAAATGTTTGGTTGATGCATCATGGTGAATGTGCCAGATATGTTGAAGATAATTTTAGTTAATAATTTTATTATATTATGTAAGTCATTAAGTTTAAGTAATTTACAACTTGTCCTGTTGATATATATATATATACACATATATATATAATCCTATTAAGACTTTATTTCTGGGATTGTAAAATAAAAGCTAAATTTATTATTTAGTTTTATTCGACAAAATATATCTCACGCGGTAGATGGAATTCGTAAATAAAAAGTGCTTTATATGTTTTTCATGTATTTATTCTCGTGCGAACATTACATACATAGAATAATAAATTAGTTACCTACCTACTATCACATGAAATTAGTCTCTTAACTCTCTTGTTCTAAAAACTGTTGCAATAAAATAGTTTCTATAGGTATAATAAGGTTTTCACTTCCATCATAAGTTCGCTTAATTTTAACAAGTTTATGGTCCAAAAATTCTGTTAGCTGTGCTCTCAACGCAAGATCCGAGCTGACTAAAAACTGCTCGCGGCATTTTGAATACAGATCCTTGAAAGGTAAACCTAGAACATAAAAAATATTACATCACAATCACAATAGCATAGAGAAGATACTGTCGCATCCATTTAAAATTAATCTGGTGTAGCTAGTACTAAAACTAAGAATACCCGCACTTCACTTGGCATTCGTGTTTGCTATTTGTAAACTTGATAACAGTACCTTTTAGTAGTACCTTTTCATGCTTTAAAGGAATGAAAAGAACAGATGTTGTCAAGTTTACAAATAGCTAAGTGCCAGCAATTAGCATTAATATTGTTGCCGATTTGTATCGTGAATACAAAGCGCAAAGTAAACATTACAGATAAGAACTAAATAAGAGCCAAATTCGAGGATTTCACGGAAGTCCAGCTACCAAATTTTAGGATCTTATTAAGTTTACATAAAGTTCATTACGCTATGCACGCACAATTTCGTTGCAACATTTGGCTTGCATTCCGTTCCGCGTCGATTTAAATTGAGCCTTATAAACCCCAGTAAATAAGACTTAGTACAATATTTTTCAATTCTTGCGTAACAAAGGTTATGGCTCAAAGAAATATCTAAGGTAACCTTTAGAGGGCGAGACCCTTTTTGAAGAAAGTGAAATAGACTTGACTCGTTACTATAAAAAAATCACAAATAGCAGGTAATGGTAAATTCATACCTAACGCAGAGTCAAAGTGACTTATCTCCGCAACGAGTACATATTCCTACTGAGATAAAAAGACGCACGCAGACCGCTGATCATCAGCATGGAAGGAATATGTGCATCAGGAAGTTGTCATACCGCCGGCGAGGAAGAGGCTAACAATCGACTATTTTCTCGCTGAAGAAATGTACAATTTATAAACAAAAGAGATGCATATAATAATAGTTGATCGCTGACTGTTCACATTGCCGTCGAGAACTCTCTTCACTAGTTGGTCGCTCTGAGCAACAAAAGTTATCAAAGATGATACTCAATTGCCCGTCAAAAGGGATGTGCGTGCATTCTTGCTCTGGACTCACCGCGAACGAGTGGTGCGAGTAATCGGCCGTTGTACTCGCTTATACCCCAGCGATAAATTTTTCGGAACAACTTACTCGCTTCCCGCTGCTCGCCAACTCGTTTCTTTCTCGTTCATCATCAGCGGTGGGACAAGTGCTTTATGTTACTGAGATAAGGGTGAATTTGCTATTTTACTGTTTCCTAAATTCGCTTCGATGCACTTTGACTGCGCTTATACAGTGGTGGTCGTATAATTAGAAACACACACCAACGGTCCTTGACATTATGTAAGATACTTCACCGCAATCGTTCTTATTTTGAAATTAATAGATAAATAGGACAACAATATGTTCAACCATTTATTAGAAAAACAATATAAATCCGATTACACAAGTGCAGTTTCAATATTACATTACCGACAAACATTTAAATCAGTTTTAAGGTATGAACATTAATGGTCAACTTATTAGAAACAACAACAACAAAAGTATAAAAAATATTTTGAGGTTTTTTTTTAATTGCGATTCGCGTGCCGAGGTCGTTGACGCAAAGAAATAAAATAGCGTTCAAAGAGGAACTTAGCTATCCATTTCGGCATTTTTTTGGCACGCGAAGTACCTACATACACTAGTTTCGATATTGTCTGCTCGAGATTTCAGGGCAGTAGTCCTGGTGTTGAACACCTCTAGAGTGTGCTGCGTAGTGTCCTTCGACGTATTAGGCGCAAAAACATCGCGCGCGACTCGAGTTATTTGTACGTCTCCTGGAATCGCTCGCGGCCACTTTTCAAGATGGCATCGAAATACTCAGATAGATAGAAGAGCTTATTATGGCAGTGGAAGAACGACCTCAGATATGGAACATTTTAAAAACACATCCATTTTCAAACCGCGTCGCGCCGCGTATCAAAATCGCGCTTGATAATCAAACTCACTACGACGAGTCGCGTAGATTGGTTACGGCACTTACACTCGTGGCAGGCGCATGTTTACTCCCTTCCCGCAATGTTGCACAGATACCGAAACACCACCACCTAAAAGTATCTACACCAGGCGATAAGAGAGTGAATAACACAAGCCTTCCTGTGCTTACTTTGGGGCTTGGCTAATTGGTGTGAATGTTAGAAATATTTATTTATATATTCATCTAGGAGAATAGCCCCAATAGTGAGGTGTACCGCACTCGCAAAAAAATTACGATAACATGACGCCAAGCGACATTTTATCTGTAATATTTTGATTATGTGAGAAAATCAACGATATTAAATACCATGCATGCTAGATACACCACGTGCGCTCAAAATGTGCCCCAATTAAGTAGTGCTTGAACACCACTCAAGCACTTCTTGGATCACAGTCACGCGCGAACCGTTGAAAAGTCAACTTGCAGCAGAGCTTCGTAAAAAAATGCGAAAAAAAAATACTTATAGTATGTAATGTCGTTTTTTTCGACAGGTAGGGGAAGGGGGGGTAGCGAGGTAAGATGGGGCACCGCACACATAGAAGAAAGTAGACGTCTGTGAATATAAAACAATAAGCCAATAGGAAGCCTCATTCAACCAACGCTTAGTGCGAGAGAAACTGTGAACTGTAATGCACGCGTCTTTTGTTAACAAACGGAAAACTGGTTTAGCGTTTCGTCGATCTAATTTTTTGTAAGTTGAAACATCATTGTCTTTTTGATTTTTGGTTACTAGTGTTATGTATTTTGATATGGTATGTTGTTTGTAGAAATCCGTTGAACGTTTTATTTGATATTTTTTTTCTGTTCAGAGGCCTTATGAGGCAAGATGAGTTATTGGGTGTGGGGTATGATGGGGTATTGGGGCAAAATGGGGTTGTGGGTTTAGGTTCATTTAAGTTTCTTAATAAATAACATAAATTTATTCTTTTTTAGGTAAAATCATGGTACGTACTTATAAGAAAAAAACCAAAGGAGGGGAGTGGTCGATAGATTCTAAGAAAATAGCTTTAGATAAAGTTTTGAGCAAAGAGATGGGATACAAAAAAGCTGCTTCTGCATACGCAGTACCTCAGACTACTTTAGAGCGATGTGTTAAGAAAATGAAGGAAGGGGGTGAAGTTACTATTGGTAAACCAATAGGGTAAACCCTTAGACCCGAAAAAATCTATATTTACATCTAAGGAAGAAGGTGAAAGAACGCTCTGAAATATATGGAAGAACGTCTTTTTGGACTAACAACTACCGAACTGAGACGTCTAGCATATCATATCACAACGCTTGTGCTGGCGTGGACGATGAAGATCTGGAAGAAATACACATTTGCTTGTTTTGTGAGAACGAATAGCCTTCCCCATCATGCCCCATAGTAAGGGGCAAGATGGTTTTTCATAATGTTCCTATTAATTATAAAAATATGTGATACGTTGATTCTCCAAAGACTGTACCAAATCATAGTTAGATTAATGACTTAACGTGCCATAAATTAATGAGAGTAATAAACAGTGATTGTGCTGTAATTTTGTTATTTCTCTTCTTCGTCTTCTCGTCACCCATCCCTCAATGTCTCAAGTCGAAAGTCTTCGACCAGTGCGTCCTCCCAGTTATGACATACGGCGCCGAGACGTGAACACTCACGGCGGGATTGGTCCACCAGTTTAAAGTCGCTCAGAGAGCTATGGAAAGGGCTATGCTCAGAGTATCTCTGAAGGACCGCATCAGAAATGATGTAATCCGACAGAGAACTGGAGTCACCGACATACCGAATTAGCAAACTGAAGTGGCAGTGGGCTGGTCACATTAGCCGCAGAACGTAGTGTGGGACGCCCTGAGACAAGATGGGATGATGACATTCATAGGCTGGCTGGAGTGGGCTGGATGAGAGTGGCAGAAAATCGGGAGCAGTGGCGTGCATTAGGGGAGACCTATGTCCAGCAGTGGACGAGCATGGATCTATGATGATGATGATTTTGTTATTTCCCTTAGCTACCCCATCATGCCCCCCATTCCCCTAATCATTAACTGATTTAATAGAAAATATTTGTGATATTCAAATGCGTGGTCGGTTATATAGCCGTCTCTTTTCCTCGCGGTTCGTACCTGCTATTTTGCTAATAGCGCATTCAGAATTGCGCGTAAAAACAAATAAATATGGTCTTTATTCTTCCGCATATATCAATAAGTCGTTAAGTTTTACGAGCTTGCATTTGGAACTATCCTAACTCTTTGACGCATGCGTTTTAATTAAGACCTTATACAATGTGCATTAAAGGTGATTTTAAATGTTTAAATAATACATTATATTGTTTTTGACTACGCGGTCATCTTACTGAGCTCCGTGGATCGTCCAATGTACCTTTTGAAAAGGTTTCGGCCACGATTCTGTTCGTGATGTTGTATCTAGGGTATTTTATATCGTTGGAGAAAATAAATAAAATACGAGTGTGCTTATGACTACACGACTGAAGTGGAACTTATTAAGCTCCATCTGTATATATATATATATATATATGTGTGTATGTACAACATATACATATTTCATTTACTAGCTATAAGAGAAAGATAATGTGCGCGCGCACTGCTTTCTCTTGCTTATATCCCCCACTAAACTCCCGTTCGCCTCACCCGAACACACTTTTCGTAACGCATTCGCCATCTTACCCCCCCAAGTCATGCGTGCGTAAAGAAATTTCACTTCAAAAATATTGTTCCAATACTTTTTGATAATCTACCTGATAGACAAAGAAGAAAAAGTTAGTCATCAGCCCTATTGTTGCAATTAACTTCACGACTGCTATCATTATATTCCATTGGGCCAAAGTCTGACGTAGTAAATCCTGAGATCTGACGCAATGGCCCTCCATAAAGTACGTTAGGTTTTTTTTTTACCCTTCCCCCATCATTATCATTATTAGTCACATTTGTCTCCCCATCCCAAGTGTGACGTCACATATTTTGCTATTTAGCATCTAGAAATTATTAAATTAAAAATGCAGTTCCCAAAAATTAACAACAAAACAAATTAAAACCCATAATAACATACAGATGGAGTTCTAAATATTTTTAAGTTTTCTGACATTAGTTCAAAAGTATTAGATTTTGAAATATGACATCAAGAAACTTATGTAACGTTGTGCGTTAAATAGTCTGTAATAAACGAGTTTGCAATCCACTACATCCAGGACGGATCCCCTTTTAGGCCAGTCATTTCTTCCCTCTTACCTACTACCGAGACGTGACGGCCAAGGAATGTTAATTTGGGCAATTAAAGGATTTATTTTCTACAAGTAAATCTTTTGATTTCGGAACCCACTAACATACATAACGGACCAGTCCCATCCTTTGTCACACAATGGCACTCTTTATCGAACCCCTCCCTCCCCCTTAACGTGTGACATACTCATAGAGGTATAAGAATAGAGTGCGGAAGGCGGCTCTCAAAGTGTCCGTCTAGTAGAAAGAGAAAGAAGATGAGAGACCGCTAGCTATCTCTCTCTTGTGACGCATGCGCAGTCTGTCCAATAGTTGGTCCAAGCATCACATAGAAATAGTAAGATGATTACGATTGCCAATGCGCATGCGCGATTAGAGAGTGAAAGCTATCGGTCTCTCATCTTCTTTCTATTAGAGGGACACTTCCACTTGTAGGAGAGTCTATATCTCCCCTACTCTATTCTTATACATCTATGGACGTACTTTATGAATAACTCCTAACCCCGTCTCCGTGGATAAACTACAATAAAACAGTTCTCATGATCAGTATTATTTACCTGCAGTGGTCTATAAGGTGTAGCTTACTTCGACTCAATTCAATAGGAAAATGGATATGCCCTACCTATCTTACTGAATAAATAGATCAAAGCAGAAACGAGTTTATCATAATATAATTACCACAGACTTACATTGAAGTAGACCATGTACATGTACTGCAAAATCATAGGCCCTGGTCACTTATTTCAAGTATATCGTTTTTAAAGCTTACAATTACATATAGTTAGGTATTTTTTAAACATGACGATTGTCGTCCGGTATCGAGAACGGTGTAAATTAGCGTAAAAGGAAGACCATTGGTTATCCTTTTGGCACGCGAAGTACATACAATTGCGTTATCAATTTCGATCTAAGGTAGTGGCACCAACGATATTAAATACCTTAGATACACCAACACGACAAAATCATGCCCGAAACCTGTCCAAAAGGTATATTGGCCGATCCACGGAGCTCCGTTAGATGATCGCGTAGTCGCAACAATATAAGGCATTATTTAAACATTGAAATTCACCTTTAAAGCACACTGTATAAGGTCTTAAAAGGCATGCGTCAAAGAGTTATGACAGTCCGAGATGTAAGCTCGTAAAATTTTACGACTTATTGCTATATGCGGAAGAATATAGACCTTGTCTTTGACTCTACGCGCAATTCTGCGCGGTTAGCAGGTTCGGACAGCGAGGAAAAGAGACGGCCATATTTCCGACCATGCATTTAAATATCATAAATATTTTCTATTAAATCTGTTTATAGTAAGTATTAAATCAAAATTTTCTTCAAATGTGTTAAATGAGCAAGCATTGATTAGATACCAGTTGAAAAAACTCATTTTACATACTGTAAGTATTTATTTCGCGTTTTTTCACGGAGCTCAGCGGCATGTTGACTTTTTAACGGTTCGTATGTAACCGTGAACCAAAAAGTGCTTGAATCGTGTTCAAGCACTTCTTGATAGGGACACAATTTAAGCGCACGTGGTGTATCTAGGGTATTTAATATCGTTGAGTGGCACCAATGACCGACAGGAGCCAATGATGAACGTTTTTTTCTGTGATCACTGAAAGTAGGATTAGGCGACCGATCGCTAAATGTCGTAACACCTGGTGTTGCCATATTAAGTGATCGGTTACCTGCTCTTGTTTTCATTGATCACGGAAGGAAATGTCGATTATTGGTGTCACTAGCTTACGTATGAGATATTTACCTTGATAGTGTGCTAGCTTCTGATTCTCCAACTGAAAGTTGATTATGATATTGAAAATTCCCTTAGCATTGCTGGTGAGGGATTGGTAAACGCTTCGTAGGGATGAAAGCTGCAATGCTCCGCTCCGTTGCGTCATTATAGAGTTTTCGAATGAAGTTTCCTCAGTGTATGGCATGAAAGTAGTGACATCCCACCATGTGAACTTGAATTTACTCAGTTTTGAATGATCCCATACTTGAAATAAAATTTTAATATCAAAAACAGTATAATAGAATCTATAAATTTTTAGGGGTTTTTCTATACAACAAGCTAAATGGGTTACTTAACATCTATCCTCTTGCTAAAACAGTATGCAAGTGGACTGTTAGCAAATACCTGTGGGGAGCCTTGATTATCAGGCAACAGAAAACTTAATTACTCCTCTTAAGTAGTTTGTCTGTCCAGGTTGCCCACTACTTAATTCCGCTTCCCGATGTGCTGGCCCCCATTAGTGTTCACTCATTCTCACAGATACACACACACAAATATACACATACTCTTACTAAATATTGATTAATATGACGACCTCCGTGGCCGAGTGGTTTGTACGCCGGGTTTCATGGCGTCGCCGTCTCGAGAGGTCCCGGGTTCGAATCCCGGTGGGGGCAGATATTTGTGTGATGAACACGAGCATTTGTACTCCAGTCATGGATATTTAAATATGTATTTGTATATAAATGTAAGTACTTATTTATGTAAAGTATGTGTATTCTATCCGTTACCCTAGTATCCCATAACACAAGCCTTATAGTGCTTGCTTTGGGGCTAGGCTAATTGGTGTGAGTGTTGGAAACATTTATATTTATTTAATATTGTTTATATTGTGTAATTTGTGTAATATATGTACTTTTATATATGTAGGTATATACTGGGCGTCCCATGGCAACCTCACACGGAGGGAAAGTATATTAAATATTGAAGATAGGATATTTTACTGATAGAAGACATCATTTTATTTTTAATAATAAAAAAACTGCATTCACAGTTTTTTTTAAAATCGCCTGTTACAACTGGGAATCAAACTCGTGAAATTTCGAAAAAAAACACGACATATTTTATGATAACCATCGAAAGGGTGAATCATAAGCATTATTTTTTGCTTAATAACATAGCATTTTAAATGAAAGAAAAGTAATTAAATTGAACATTTTATTTAAAATTATTTTACACAAACTAACATCCGTATACGCCTCAAAGTAAGTTCAAATGTTGAGTTCATCATCGTTGGCGTTTATCATCAGCTGCTGTGGTTTCTGTAAGCGCATATCATAACGTCCTGAATTTCAGTATCCACTAACCTTTAAAGCACATATCGAGAAGATACGTCTCCATCAGGATATCTTTTGCGGTACCACCGCAAAGCTAATATGTCTTTGTGTTTCATAAAGTAAGTTTCCATTAAATCCATTTTATTTTGATACGCCATGGTAAGTGAATTAACAAAAAAAATGCAAATAAACGAAAATGAAATTAAAAAAAAGAACAGACGCTTGAAAATTTATGTGTTCCATTTTCGAATTATTATTTTTATAAATTTCAGCCAATTGCATTGTGACTGTGAGTTCAAAAAGAAAGCATACGTACTTCAGTTTGTATAACACTTTATTATTTTTATCACGTAATAAGACATTCCTTTCATTTAAAATGCTATGTTATTTAACAAAAAATAATGCTTATGATTAACCCTTTCGATAGTTATCATAAAATGAGTTGGTTTTTTTTTCGAAATTTCACAAGTTTGATTCCCACTTGTAACAGGCGATTTAAAAAAAATCTGTGAATGTAGTTCTCGTTATTATTAAAAATAAAATGATGTCTTCTTTCAGTAAAATATCCTATCTTCAATATTTAATATACTTTCCCTCCGTGTGAGGTTGCCGTGGAACGCCCTGTATATATAAATTAAATATTTAATATGTAAATGTACTCTGCAACAGTTACCTAAAATTAGCATAAAGTTTTTAAAATTATACCTAACATTATTTAAGCCTCAAGTCACGTCATACCCTGTTTTTATGATGTATGTAGTCAGCGGGAGGGTCCTGGTGACCTGTGTCACAGGTTTCACTGAAACCTAATTCAGGCACCAGTCTCTCACAATACTATAACTTATTGTAAACCACAAGTGGTATACTACAATGAACTTTATTTTCATGTGAGAGAAAAATAAATAAATGATTTGATTGATATAAATTAATGAAGTAGGCACGGGAATTTTAGTAGAATAAAAGAAAAAAATATTAAAGCACAACATCGCACTTGGTGGTCAACAAAAAACCTAACCGAGTTAGCGACGATGCTAAATTTTCAATTTCGTTTGAAACATAACTAAAAAATCATTAGCAGTTAAAGTAATAAACAATGAAGCTTAAACAAAATTACTCGGTCCAGAGGTTAGATTAGTTTCTAACCAGCGCCTTCTTTACAGGGCCGTAGCCAGAGTTGTATTTAAGATAGGGCAGCGCTAATTAAAGGTAGATCATAAGCAGGAGCGTGCCGCCTTTCGCCGCCAGCCGCCCCGTTTTAAGTTAGGGCAACGGTATTTTAAGTAGGGCCTCATAATACCCTCTCCTAGCTACGCCCCTGTAAAGGGGGGAATCACGAACCGTTCTGCTACCCATATCTTTACGTCCATGTCGTCGGTGGAAATTCTTATAGATAACGTAGACTGCAACGCGCCATCTCTTCATATTCAGAGGCTTAATTTAAAATCTGGCGTCCTCGGCCAATTATGATTATAAAATCAAATCAAAATATAGGTCAGTAACAAATGTCTTTATATCCCCTGACCATGGCCCATTTGGCCCTAGGGTAAATACGCCCCTGTTAGCATTGCACGTGTAATAAATTGATTTCCTATACAAACATTCATTTTATTTCACTTCTTTTTTACATTCAAGATATCTTTTGTGGCCGCCTCCTTTTCTAATGTTTCCTTTATCTGCATACCGAAATGCATCATAATGACTTAGCGATGAGCGTAGCACATTCACCCCCTTATTAATAAACGAAGACTACGCTTGGATAAGTTACTGTCTATTGAATGACAAATGGCATTTGAGTGTCATGAACAAAACACGTCTAGTCTAAACTTATTCCTTTTTATTAATAAGGGGATCAATGTTTTACGCTGGCCCTGTCGTTATGGGAGTCGATTCGTTGCATGATTCTAACATTATAGAAAGAAATAAAGAAATGTAATGTGATGTGACTAGCAATCTATATCATTTCTGATGTGAGTTTCTTTTTGTCAGTGGTAAAAAAAACTTTTAAAGTGGCATTTTTAAGGATTTTTAGAAGATATAGGGGGCTTTTATGGGAATCAAAGTTAGTTTGGAACTTCAATTATTTTACGCAGAAAAAAAGTCGCATGCACTCTCTTGTAAGATAAGATATATGTGTACTTACATAAAGGCGCATTAATATGATCCATTGTCGCAATAGTGTGAACATTCTCAATCTGCGAAATGCTTGCCAAAGCAGATTGAGCTTTGGAATTACGAAGCATTGTTCCATCTATATTGTGTATTATCAGAAACAAGTGCATTCCACAATCTCTCAACTGCGTATCTATTAGACTGACAACATCTCCGAGATTAGAAGGCACATGACTGTTTTCTAGTACATCAACAACAATTGATTCCAAAATAGTTTTTATAGTCAAGCTGGGGAAGAAACCATTCACCACAACGCAAGGAAAATCTTGCAGCTTTTGCATTTGGAATTTCTGCAATAACATCCTTTTCGAGCCAACGCCGTACAGGATTAAGTTGAAATTCTCACTCAAAGTGTAAAGCCACCTGTTAAAGAGTTGTTCATATGATTGAGTCAGTTCAAGTATTCTGCTTTTATGTTCATCTGATATTTCTATATCTCCCATGCTGTCGTCGATGTTCAAATTTTTCAGTCTGGCCAATGTGTGGTCTGAAGTGGCGATCTATAAAAGATTTATAAAGAGAAATGGAAGTTATAGCTCATTTAAACTGAGAAATAATAAGAAATCAAAGTTATTTAAACTCTTTATACGTAAGTGATTTTTGGTGCTAATCAAATCGGATTGTTTTTGGGAAGCAGGATTCTTATATTTATGACTCATAATATAAGATTTAATTAATCAGTAGTTTCAGAATAATTAACGGGATTGCACAATGTGCACTTGTTTAGTATGTGTGCTATGGCTTTTGTAAGTGATTGTGTGATAAAAGCGATCTACGAACTCGTTTTCTTGAAAGGGGTAAAAAGAATGAATGATATCTATTTATATAAAACTCAAAGGTGACCGACTGACTGACATAGTGATCTGTCAACGCACAGCCCAAACCACTGGACGGATCGGGCTTAAATTTCGCTAAGAAAGGATTTTGATCAATTCTACCCCCAAGGGGATAAAATAGGGAATGAAAGTCTGTATGAAACTTTGTCAATTTTAAACCGATCGGGCCGAGACTTTGCATGCGGGTATAAGAAGAATCATAGATGAATGTCATTGTGTATAATACAAGCCTAAGAACAAAAACTGTAGTCTACACTTCAGCTCTACACCGAAGCGAAACGAGGGCAGGCCGCTAGTGATAAGATAAAAACAGATGAATTTAAAAAAACATTGGATCCTTTAAAATAAGACATTATACCTTTTTGCTTGAATGCATTAAGAAATAATTATCCGGTGTAACAATGTACTCAGAATCCTTTGGTCGGCTTATTGTTTCCTTACATTTATTGACTTTTGTCTGTTTTTTAGATTGAACATCTTGCTCGTCCTCTTCAGAAGCACTGGGTGATGATGAGCTTGACGCAGCGTCCTGCAAATATTGAATGATATCTTTTTAGCAAAACCATGTAGATAAATTAATCTATACTAATAATACAAATGCGAAAGTGTGCCTGTAACCGCTTCATGCAACAAGATTTAAATGAAATATGGTAAAGAGATAGTTTGAGTCCCGGGAAAGGACATAGAACAACATATCCTAAAAAATGGATACTCTATTGTTAAATTTAGTTTTAAATAAGGGAATCATGTCCGAAGTTTCGTGTCGACGGCTAAGCTTATACAGGAGGATAATTTGTAAAACACCAGCAACAAAAAATAGTTGGGCTCGATGTGGAGAAATTGAAAAGTGACGCGTATAGTATACACTGGAAAATACTTTGCGAGGCAGCAACTATTAATAACATGGTCTCTTATTTTAATAATGGCATCTCGAGTTTTTTGACCGACATACGAGTACATCTAAAAAGGACGTCAAATTGAAACGCGCACCTGTGCCGTGGATTACTGCTGGTGTTCGCATGGCAATGCGGAAGCGTAATAAGTGCTTTCGTACGTACAAACGGTGCCACAACTGATTATAATTGGGAGGGTTTTAAAACTGCCAGGACTCGCTGCAATCAGATGGTGAGAGCTGCTAAACGCCACACATTCTAAGAACATTTTGAATTCAAGTCCTGCCAATACATGGCAGTTTCTACGATCTCTCGGTTTTGGTAAAACCTCTCGTAAACATATCTCATTAGTTTCACCTGATGAACTTAATAAGCATTTCTCGTCTGTCCCTTTTCTCCCGACTTCAGTTACCCTTTCTACAGTCTCTGCTATTATAAATAAATAAATAATAAATAAATATTTCCAACACACACACCAATTAGCCTAGCCCCAAAGTAAGCACTATAAGGCTTGTGTTATGGGATACTAGGGTAACGGATAGAATACATATATTGTACATATATAAGTATATTTATATAGAAATACATATTAAACATCCATGACTGGAGTACAAATGCACGTATTCATCACACAAACATCTGCCCCCACCGGGATTCGAACCCGGGACCTCTCGAGTCGGCGACACCATTAAACCCGGCGTACAAACCACTCGGCCACGGAGGTCGTCAAATATTACTTCAATGGCGCGTCTACAAACGCTTCTTTCTGCTTTCGTCCTCTGACAGAATAGGTGGTTCGTAAGATAGTGCTCTCCATAAACTCCAAAGCAGTCGGTTGTGATGACATTGGGTGGACTTCAATGTATACTACAAAGCCTTACTTTTAATTTAAATTTTTCTATTACTTCAAGTACCTTCCCTTTTATCTGGCGACATCATCTTATTATGACTCAATACCAAAAGGTGTTAAAGTTTTATAATTTCTGAATCGAAATTGTTATAATATACGAGGCTTTATATATAAATAGGTATTTTTACTCAATAATTACATACTCTGTCATGGTTTAAAACATAAAAAAACGAGCGAGCCCTACAGTAGTCGCGTTTGATGTGTAATATTTGAAACCTCACCTTATATTAGTAAAAAAAGAAATAAAACATACTACAAAAGGAATAAGCCATTTGAACATCATGTTCTAAAATCAAATCAAATAGCGCGCGCTTTCGCGACTTCCTGTTACACACTTCCGTCTCATTTCACGAAATTCCTCCCACAAATTGCAGGAAAGCGAGAGGAAAGATGTTAAACATCAATAACGTGAAAACAGCGGCTCACAACCGGCTGCTTATCCGAATCAATACCAAAAGATCTTACACAATTTTCACAGTTACTGATTGCAAATTGTTATAATATACGACCCGCTATATACAAATAGGTATTATTACTATATTAATACCACCTACTTTGTATAAATACGTAGTGTAAAACATAAAGTGTTCAATATTAAGATTTATTTTGCAAATGCCCTATAACACGACAGATAATAAACGAATGTACCTACCTACTTATTTCTGACGTAAGTACATAATTGTTATTTAATCTGTAGGTATAGTATACCGAAGTCGCCGCGCAAAAAGATGTTTTAAATGTTTAAAACGCCTTTTTGATGTGTAACATCTTTCCTCTCGCTTTCCTGCAATTTGTGGGAGTGATTTCGTGAAATGAGACGGAAGTGTGTAACAGGAAGTCGCGAAAGCGCGCGTTATTTGATTTGATTTTAGAACATAATGTTCAAATGCCTTATTCCTTTTGTAGTAGGTTTTATTTCTTTTTTTACTAATATAAGGTGAGGTTTCAAATGTTACACATCATACGCGACTACTGGAAGGCTCGCTTGTTTTTTTCTTTACCCAACTCGTACGTAAGACGTATCAAAACGGTTTCAAATGTGTACCATCAACGTCCGTTTTGTTTCGTATTCTTGGTACCTATTATGTGATCAGCCCGAGTAAGATGAAACGTTATATGTATTTAAAGATAACATCGACTTGCATTAAAACAATAACATTAAAATTGAAATATTCTTTCTGACCATTATGCTGCCGCGGCCCTGACGGCCGTGTCGAAGCGGCTCGAGTCCCGTCTGCTGCCTGGTCCGCGTGGATTTTTTTCTAGTAAACTTTACTTTAGATTTAAACATCTAGCAGTTAATTGCTTAAAAAATAAATACATTACTATATTCTTTTGTTTCATTCTCGACAATAAATCAAACCACCAGATACGAGTGCCACTACCGCGATAGTTCTTTGTGTATAATGGGCCTACCACACGCACGAGCTTCACCACAGTTTTGCCTGCGCAGGCCGGTTTGTACACGGAACACGGTGCGTATAGTTGGTAAAACTGTATCACGCGCCAACCCCACAGCGCGGCCTGCGCACTTTTCGACTTGCTTGAAATTTTGCCTGCGCAAGCCCGGCCTGCGCGTACTTGTCTGTGCGTGTGGTTGGGCGTTCAGTGTTCAAGCCACAGTCGAGTGTACTTTGTGTCGAGGCTCGCTCGCGTTTCATGAGGTCGTTTGTCATCGTCACTCAAAAATGGCAGATTTGCGTAGGTACGTACAATCACGAATTCACGTCTGAATTAATTAGTTTATACAAATTTCTTTATGGCCATAGGCATCCCCCCACGAGTGTTGAATGAGAGGCGTAACCAAACGTAACAATTCACCATAAGCATTTTTATCCATCCGTATATAATTACGAAAATCGTTTGGATCATCTCTTAAAACCCTAAATTAGATTAATATGTGTATGAATTTTTCTATTCAACAGCCAATTTTTTGGCCATTTTGATCGCTTTAATTTTGACTTTTGCGTTGCCTTTTTTTTAATAGCAAATCCTTGAAAAATAATAGCATAAGAAATGTTTCTTCATTAGGAAACATTGTTTCCACGCCAATGATTTCGATAAGAATGAGGCTTGCGCGTACTTAACTGTGCCGTGTGGTAACGCACAAAGTGTACAGTTTTTTCGTGCGAGATGCTTGCGCAGGCCAAACTGTGGTGAAGCTTGTGCGTGTGGTAAGCGCATATGTCAATGTTGGCAATGCTAGCGCGACCGCCGAGCAAAGTGAAGTACATACATGAGATAACCTTATGTAATATACCTATACAGTGCATTTCACTTATTACGTACGACCTTGATTGTAGCGATCATTTACCTATAGTGACTATAAATCTAAGTCCCTTGAATTTAAAGAATACTTTAGTACAAAATTCATTTGGCTTTAGCGACTTTGGATGTAACGCCGAGTTCGGGTGTAGCGACTGTTTTTAATGAATCATTTGTAACAAATTCCTAAAAAGCCCATGCAGATATTGCGACCGGAGTCGGCCGCCAAAGACACAAAGATTTCTTTCTTTAACAAACATTTACATCCACATAGATGGCCAGCAAATGTGGAGACCTTTACCTTTTGTTTATAGATATCAGCTAAGTAGGTAGGGAAGCGTGTACGTTTCGGAGTTAATTTATGGTTCAGTTACAAAGTGATATACTGAAGTAGCAACTAGGCTTAGTAAACTTTAGAATAAGTATGGCTGCTAGACGCACATTCACTGTTAAAGGAAAGGCGGAAATCACTTAAAAATGAATATAAACTATACATGTGTACGTATCTCTTTACCTTTGCCTATAACTACTTTCGGACATAACGACGAAAATAGAGTGGTCCCTTCATTGTCGTTATACCCGAAATCCACTGTATTTTGTGGTAAAAAGCTTTTCTCACGGATTCCCTTAGCACAAACCCATACCGAAATTGTTAAATTATGTCACTATTATATAAAGTTTTTGTTAAAGCAATTCCCTACAAGCACTTACTTCATTATCACTTTCGTCGGGTACAAAGTCACTGCTGCTGCCTGAGAAATCACTATCGTTGCTGTCACTGTCCACTTGACGAATTATTCCTAAATATATAAATGATATATTTTAGACTGTTTGCTTTGATAAAACACTCTTTTAATTTGCGTGTATTAGAATAACACATAATTTTACATTGATTGGATTATTTTCAGCCTCCTAAGTAACAAAATTTTATTACTAAGTAACTATAACTTGACTTTTTTGCTTTAGCTTTGTTACATAAATATAAAATAGATCTATTTATGCTTTGCTGAAGAGTTATATTACAACATGCTTGATTAAGTAACTGAATTTATTATCTACCATGAGGGTTTGTGAATACAAACTACTGTTAATAGTGCTAATGCAAACGAAATGAAAGAAAAATGCATAATAAATATGCATTTTCTATTGAATGCACCTTTTTCAAATGCAAAAGAATTTTTTTAACATGCAAAAAAAGGACTGCAGTATAATGAATATTAATCTTTTTTATGCAATAGAAAAATAGCAGTTATAACAGTATTTAATTGCAAGGTAATTAACACCACTTACTTTTTCTCATCATATCTTTTACATGTTTTGGTGTTGACTCACAAACTTTTGTTGAAGAACTCTGCAGCAATGCCAATTGACCTTTTCGAGGAGTTTTTATAGGAGTCTCACTAACTTTAGGCGAATTACTTATTGCTGATTTTACTTTATTTTGTAAATCATGTTTAGTGTGTCGGGACTTAAATTTGAACATATCGGTACCCTCTACATCATCTTCAGTAAATAAAGCTGTAAGAAAGTTTAAAAATTATTGTAACAGAATGCATTTAAATAAAATTAAATGTATTATTTAAAAAAAGCTAACAGTACCTATATGATAATTGTTAGAAATATTATTTGGGTGTCAGGAAGTCAAGAAGAATCAAGAGAAAATAATATGACAATTCTAAATATACATTGGACTACCATTTGCAATTAGTTCATACTTAAATATAAGTCTGAGTTATAAAAAGCCTTTGTCTATGCAAAATAATTAATTTCCCATACAAACTGTCATCCCTGATTTAAACATTATGAACCAGTTTAAACATTATCATCATGACAAAAGACAGCACAAGTCTTTTGCCAAAGTCCTCTTTATCCCTGCACACAATTTGATCAGTATTGTCTAAGCAATTTAAGCATTCAAGCACAACAATCAGACAGACAGAAGTACTTATGAATTTATTGTATAGTATCAGTTCAAGTAATCAGTAACTTCTTTTAAATTTTATTTTTTTCTATAACTTTCATTAAATAAAACTAAGAAAGAAAGAAACTAAGAAACAAATATATACCTTTCATGTTTACCTACTATACCATCACTACCTACTTTGTTTTACTAACACATCAATTAATCATAACATACAATACATACAAATAGTGTGGGTAACAAATTTTGCTGACACCAAAAAATAAAATAGTGTGTATATATATGAATATATGGAGGTACTAGTGTGTATATCTATGAATATATGTTTTTAATTATAATATAATTTACTAGCTGACACAACAAACTTAGTACCAACATAAAAATAGGGGCTACTGGTAGCAGGGTGAAAATTTAGGGTTGTATGTATTTTTAATGCCACTTTATAAAAAAATAATAAGGGTAGACAAGGCTTATCACTTAAGAGGTACGAAAAGTAGAGAGCAGCCAATTCTCAGACCTACTGAATATGCATATAAAATACCATAAAAATGGGTCAAGCCGTTTCAGAGGAGTATAGTAACTAAACATTGTGACATAAATATTTTTTCATATCATATATAAGATATGTATGATTATATTCATTATTACTAAATATTTATTTGGTTATGTGTATTCTCCATCTCAGTTACGTACCCTACCACTAGTTGTCTCCATAACATCCTATGGTTCTTCATTACCAGTCGTAAAGAATGCCTATGGCATTGTCTGCCTTTGTACATTTGTGGATTAAGAATTAAATAAATAATACATACCTGTCGGCTTTATCAAAGTTGTTTCACCATTCATAGACTCTTCCTCAGAACTTAGTGCATCAAGCACTTTTTGTTTCATGGGGGATGACTCTACATATTCACCATATTTATTCGGTTTTTTTCTATTCCGCACGCCTCTCCTGATAGGCGTATCATGTTGATCTGTACCTAATAGGTTGATACATTGAATTTATTTAACTTATACAAATAAAATATCTAATTAAGTTAGACTTTTAAGTAGATAGGTATAATTTTCGATTGTAAAGAGATCCCATCACTGGCTTAAACGATTCTCATTAGTTTTCGTTTGATCATAAATATAATTAACCAAAACGAAAGGCAAATCAAAAAAAAATATTTGTTATGCAAAACAAATAATTTTTTTGATTTGCCTTCTGTTTACTTACTGGGACTCGTCTCGTTCAAGAAAAACGGAAAGTTTGTATCTTCACTCATCTTCAATTTGTAACAGTATCAACAAAAGATAAAACAAACCAAACTTAAAATAATCTATTTTCTTCTCTTTATTTGAAGGAATAACAAGTTTAAAAGTAAATATTAGAGTAAACGAGAGAAATCCATCTTTGCTGGAAATGCCGCCCTCCGCTCTGTCAATGTCAATTTTTATATTTTACCATTTTCCTTTTTTTTTTAGGGAAGGCAAAGGAAACAATGCCCATTCAGCCTAATTTAAAGTTTTATTAGGTCTTCTTTTTATTAAACATATGATATTAACTTTGGCCACAACCAGTACAAGGGCTGTCTATTAGTCAATTTTATAATTTGGTTAGATACCTACAGACTTAACCACATAAGTTAACGGTAAATTTTAATTGAACTTTTTTGTTGGTTTATTATAGGTAAGTACCGAATGGACGGAGTATTTCACAAAAAAAGCGTGGCCTTTTTCTGAGTGTTTCGCTGTCAATAAGCAATGTGGGTGTGTCTACAGAAGCGACAAAAATTAATATTGTGGTTTGAGTCATCGATATGAAAATTAAATACTTTTCAATTTGACGTCAACTTGTGAAACTATTTTCACATTGCATTTAAATAGTGAAAATATCTACCTACATAACATTTTACTGTCTCTTGATTATCAAATAGGAATTCGACCATGAGGATCACGATGGCTCCATGAATCTTCCACAATCACAGGCCGAAGCCGCTATTTGATTATGTCCTCTATCCTATGGGACCAGGGCTGAATCTACGATTATTGGGCTTCAGCCCAGGGCCCCGTGGATTTAAGGGGCCCCCAGCTAAGTCAAGTTTAGTCAAAAATACACGATAATGCGAAAGAATCCATAATTTTATTAAATTAAACAGATCGTATAGTTTGCAGCCCTGCGAATCCTGCGATTAATTAAACCCATTCAATTCATTAAATTCAAGTCTACTTTCAGGTGTTGTCATGAATCCACGTAGAGCATGATAAAACTTTTTTGTTAAGTTGGTATTTGCTCTTTTTAGTGATTCGTTTTTTTATTTTTTTGATAACTATCAAGAAGAAAAGAATGTTTTTTTTTGTTTCCCATTATAATTTAATTTTGGTTTTTCGTGTTTGTGATCTTTAATATAATTATTTTATCCCAAAGTACTATTTTCATTTGATTAGTGTCTTGAGCAAGGCGTAAGCCAGGTAATCGGCCAAAAGAACCTGGAACAAGTGAATAAATTCTTCACATAATGGCGACCGTGACAGGACATTTTTTTGATAGCTATCAAGAAGAAAAGAATGTTTTTTTTTTTGTTTCCCATTATAATTTAATTTTGGTTTTTCGTGTTTGTGATCTTTAATATAATTATTTTATCCCAAAGTACTATTTTCATTTT